CATTCGCCTCAGCAAGTTAATAGATGCATCTATGGTTCATGCCGTTCGTCCTTCGGCAGTGCACATTTTATATTTATGTTGGATCAGGCCGTACGTCCTCGGCAGAATTCGTGCTTAATAATAGAGCTGGAAGCCCCCTTTATATATGATATTAATTCATTGTTTGGGAGATTATTTGTTTCAAAAGAAGGAAATGATGTGGTTCTTAAATATGGTGAAAGGATGGTTCAGTTATTTTTTATTCCGAGTTTTATTGTCATCTCTATATATGTCACGACCCAAAATCCCTCCGATGGAATCGTGATAGCACCTAGTCTCTAAAACTAGGTAAGCCTAACATTAACAGAAATCACGACAATATTTAATAACTTTGAACAATTTCAAAATAGAAATCTCTTTACAATTTACAATCCCAAAACCGGTAGTGCAAATCATAAGCCTTTCTAGGAGTAGTTATACGTAATGAATACATTACTGTTCTAGAACAAAAGGAAACAATGGATATAAATACAATAGAAGGTGACTCCGAGGCCTGCGAATGCAGCAACAGGTTTACCTTGAGTCTCCACAGCAATGATCCGCACAGCCACTAACAATCGAATACCTGGATCTGTACAAAAATGTACAGAAGTGTAGAATGAGCACACCACAGTGGTGCCCAGTAAGTATCAAAACTAACCTCGGTGGAGTAGTGACGAGGAACATTCAAGACACCTACTGGTCTAATAACCTGAATAGGAGATGATATAAAGCTAACAAAGATAGGGATATCAAAGTAATGCTAATAGCAGGAAGAATTCAAATTACTAAACAGTAGTGACGATAAGGGGAAAACACGAATGGTAACGACAAATAACCAAGTAATTAAACGATAACATAGTTGGGATACAGGTAAGTGTAAATGTGCTCAAGTAGGGAAAACGATGTCAACTCACCCAAACAAATTTTTTCTAATACACGATCCCAATAATTCCATCTCTTGTAATCTCATACAATAAACCATAATTTCCAACCCTTTAACACACACGACACCTTGTGCCCACATCTTTCCATCTCACTTTGCACGGCGAAATCCACGTGCTACTCGGTACATAATACCCATGTTAATTCCTAATTAAGATGTTCAAGAGATTCCATTTATTTATCATAAAGTAAATTTGCAGTTTCTAGACCAAAAAGGAAATCAACAAGAAAGATGAGCTTTGTTTTAGAAATCATTTGAGAGAAGAAAATAACATTTTCAAATAAAATTCAACAACGAATAGCTACTGCATTTAATATAGAATTTATTAAGTTAAAACATAATAACAATTCCTTTTTGAGTGAAATGAAAACCTCAGACAAGTTAAGAAGATTAAGCTGGGGAAGTAGTTGAAATAAAATATAATTATTTTTAGAAATAGTAGATGCTTAAAATATACGGCGAGTTCTAACTTAAAGTCACACAAGGTAGCATGATATTAGTTCTTTCATTTTAAATCACTATATTTCTAACAACTCAGCAGGCAGGAGGTAATGACTCAACGTAGTAAGTTCGCTTTGAAAATCAATTCACCAGAATAATAGTATTAGGAAAAGAGCTCAGGAAATGACCGCAAGACAATAAGTCAATGACAATAACTCGATCGTCAAAACTCAGTGAAAAACTAGAAATACATATTATCAAAGTCTCACACGAAGGAACTAAAGCCAATACAGTAAGACAAGGGATACCAAAATACAAGATATGTTGCGTCGCACAACCCGATCCCACCATATAATATCAATATCATAAGTCACCCTTATTCCACCATATCAATTCACCCTTATACACCTGTTGCGGCATGCAACCCGATCCCACCGAACAATGTCAATATCATAACAATAAACGTAATATGTTGCGGCACGCAACCCGATCCCTCCATATAATATCAATATCGTAATTCACCCTTATTCCACCATAATAATCCACCCTTATTTCTCCTGTTGCGGCGTGCAACCCGATCCCATTATACAATAACAATATCACAATACAAATATCCTCCCTTATTCCACCACCTCCCTTATTTCACCTATTGTAGCGTGCAACCCGATCCCCCGTACAATAATTTAAATCAACAACAATAATCCAACAACTACGTTACAAGAGTTTCTATAACCAAGAGTATGAGTACACAACAACAAGGGAACCACGTAAAAATCAAAGGAATACAACAACCTTTACTAAACAACAAGACATGTACGGCACGCGATAACTACGCAGGTAATCACAACAACTTGGACACGTAGCAGATAAGCACGTAGTCATGGAAGAACTCAATCATTAAGAGGTAACAAGACAATAATGCAGGAAATGACTACAACCAAGAAATATAAGGGCCAAAGAACAAATAAGAGGTAAATAAGGGCTAACGACATCATATAGAGCATGTAAGAGTAGTCTAACAACGAAATACCACATGTTATGACAATTTAATCAAAAGCATGGCAAGAGACTAGACAATCTAAACCGGTTAATACCACATATAGGCTGTGAAATCACTTGTCACCTTGCGTACACGGCTTTCACATAACAAGGTAACACAATTAACTCAATTCCTAAGGGGTGGTTTCCCCCACACAAAGTTAGACAAGATATGTACCTCAATTCGGCCAACTCATTACTCAATTTAGCTTTTCCTTTACCAACTCAACATCGCTTGGATCAATCTATCCAAAGACGACTTAAATACATCAAACAATGCAAGAGAAAACAATTTCAATTAATAAAGCTATGATCCTTATACAATTTGCAAAAAGTCAACTCCCGGGGCCCGCACCTCGGAACCCGAAAAAATTTACAAAACCCGAACACCCATTCCGATACGAGTTCAACCATACAAAAAATTATCAAGTTCCGATACCAATTCGTCCATCAAATCATCATTTTTTATTTTTGAAAGATTTTAGAATTTTCCCCAAATTTTCCTTTAGAGTCTCATGAATTTGATGTTAAATCTAAGAAATAATCACAAAATATAGTTGAAAATGGATTAGAGACACTTACCCAATGATTTGATATGAAAATCCTCTCACAAAATCGCCCACTCTCGGACCTAGGGTTCAAAACATGATAAAATGAAGCTAAGATTCGGAACGCCCAGCTTTTAGCAGGCTGCAGATGTCGCAATTGCAACACTGAGTTCGCAACTGCGAACTCACAAAAGCGAAGAATCCTTCGCTTTCACGACCCAAATTTCCCCTCCGTTGGGTTTCGTGATGACACCTAGTCTTAGGGACTAGGTAAGCCTAACATTAAATAAAAACAATAACAATATTTAATTAACATCTAATAAATTGGAAATTGGAATCTCTTTAAACTTTACAACCCCAAAACTGGTAGTACAAGGCGTAAGCTCTACAGAGTTTGCTACAACTGCTAAATACAACTGTTGGAAATAAGTAAGAACATTGTGCATACAAAATATGAAGGTGACTCCGAAGCCTGCGAACGTAGCAACAGGTTTACCTTGAGTCTCCACGTAGCGATCCGCACAGCTACTAACCAGCAAGAAATACCTGGATCTGCACAAAAATGTGCAGAAAAGTAGCATGAGCACACCACATCGTTGCCCAGTAAGTATCAAGACTAACCTCGGTGAAGTAGTGACGAGGAACTGTCAAAACACCTACTGGTCTAATAATTTGTACAAGTATAAGTATAGGAACAACATAACATAATGTCTATATAAAGGTTACGCGATATGGCTAACAATACAACAATTACAATAAGGAAGGAAAACAGTAAGTAACAACGGAAACACCATAATAATGACATAGAAGCGCGAGCGGAAATGCAACCCAAATCCTAAATCACAAATACAGTAAAGACAAGTAATAACTCAAACTATGACAGTTTTCACATCAGGTCATAGCCACCAAACTCCATGAAGTACCGAACCTCAGTCAAACTTACAGCTCACGGGTCCCAATACCTGAACCCTAACACTTGACATCCTGTGCCCTCATCACACCTCATGATCATGCTGACAACTCACTTGCTAAATAGAGCCACTCTCACATGTATGACAGGCAACCGAGGGTGTACATCTATACCCAATAATATCAGGAGAGCTTCTTATCCAATAGGAGTGTTTAACTACGTGTATGCTTGTGCAAGTGTTCTAACATAGATCATACCAGCTAAGAGCATAAGGAAAAGAACGGACATCACGTAAGACGTTCTCTCACAACTTTCACGAGGTAAAGCTCATACAGGTAAGCGTACCATGACACAATATCAACAACACGAATGCCCCCAGGCCATCATAAATCATCACAATCAATCCCTGACATAGCCCACCTTGTCTCGCCACGTGTGCAATAATAATATAGCAAGTGCCCGCCTTGTTTCGCCACACGTGCATCATAATGGTCCCACCTTGTCTCGCCACATGCGCAACCCACATAATATATATATATATATATATATATATATATATATATATAGCGTCTTTTAAAAAGACGCTATACTTAAATGGCCAAACGGACGTTAAGGTGTACCGTCTTTTAAAAAGATGCTATATATAGTTTGGTCATTATGTTTTTGTTTGGTTCCGGACTCTTGATTGTGTTACCGAGATTGCACATAGAGAGATAACAACTTTACTCTTTTTTGTCCTTGATTCTCAATCTTAGAAGGTGATGTCAACTAAAACATAATATACCAAGAATGTTCAATGGTACTAAATTCAAATTTTGAATGGTACAACAATTGATAAAAATGAACTACGAGGGAGAACATGAAAATGTAGCCTAGAACTGTTCAAGCAAGTCAATGGTAACATTAATCAATACCTAGCGACAACATGCAAAGTTCTTTACTAGCTGTGTAAATTGTAAGCACAAGCTGTTGTCCATAACTCAGGCGCATAGCAAAACTATCAGGGGTTAATGTTTAATTTTCCAAAGAAAGAGGACCAGATTACCAAATCGCAAAACAACGAGAGAAGTCCGACAGAAGCCTGTAGTTCTGGCGCCAATCCAACCGCCTCGAAACATAAAAAGCAGCGCTCAAGTCCTCTTTCGAGTCGTTTAATTTCCACTGTAATCATCGGTTTCACCGGCGGCCATGTCATCCGAAGCCGGAACCCTAACCCTTGACTCTACCACTCTCTACCCAACCGCTCTCAACTCCCTCCCCGGCCAATCTTCCTCACATTCAAATCCACCACCCCTCCCTCTTCCCCCTATCCCTCCCTCAGTCCCTCAACCGAAACTGATTCCAAAAACTCGCTTTATCATCGACGGTTTCAAATATGCCGGCGATTTCTCAGTTTCATACTTCCTCTCTCATTTCCACTCCGATCACTATACTGGCCTTTCCCCTAATTGGTCCAAAGGTATCATCTTTTGCTCCTCCATAACCGCTAACCTTCTCATCCAAGTCCTCAATGTTCCCGCGCAATTTGTAGTGTCTTTACCGCTTTCCGAAGCCGTTTTAATAGACGGCTCCGAGGTATTTCTCAGCGATGCCAATCATTGTCCTGGTGCTGTGCAATTTTTATTTAAAATTCCAGTTAATTATGGCAAATTTGAGCGGTATATTCACACAGGTGATTTTCGTTATTGTGACAAAATGAAATTAGAGCCCGTTTTAAATGCATTTATTGGTGCTGATGCTGTATTTTTAGATACAACTTACTGTAATCCGAAATTTATATTCCCTAGTCAAGATGAGTCAATTGATTATATAGTTGGTGTTATAGAGAAATATGGAGCTGAGAATGAGGGCTCATTGAAAAATATATTGTTTCTTATTGCTACTTATGTTATTGGGAAGGAGAAGATTTTAGTGGAGGTTGCACGGAGATGTAAGAGAAAGATCCACGTTGATGGCAGGAAGATAGCAGTTTTGAAGGTATTAGGTCATGGGGAGGATGGGGTGTTTACTACCTTTGAATCTGAAACTGATGTTCATGTTGTTGGGTGGAATGTGTTGGGTGAGACTTGGCCATATTTCAGACCCAATTTTGTGAAAATGAACGAGATCATGAATGAGAAAGGGTATTCTAAGGTGGTTGGTTTTGTCCCAACCGGCTGGACTTATGAAGTGAAGCGAAGTAAATTTTCAGTGAGGAAGAAAGATTCCTTTGAGATACATCTTGTTCCATATAGTGAACATTCTAATTACGATGAGCTTAGACAATATGTAAAGTTTCTGAAACCAAAGCGCGTCATACCAACAGTAGGCATAGATGTTGAGAAGCTGGATAGCAAACATGCTAATGCCATGCAGAAGCATTTTGCTGGCTTGGTTGATGAGATGGCCATTAAGCAAGAATTTCTGATGGGTTTTCATCCTTGTGTCCAAGGGGAGGAAGATATGGATGCAAAAGAATCTCCTCATGCTTCAGTTAGTATCACCAATCAAGAAAACACAGGCGAATCTGCTCATGCTTTAGTCAGTATCACCAAGCAAGAAAATGAGGATACTTCATTGGATTCTAAGATCTGCAATAATGGTGATAGGGAGGATATTATCCATTCATTTCCTCAAGGAGAACCTGAGTTGCAAGGTTTAGAAAAAATAAGTGAAGGTGATGTGGAAGAAGATCTGAAAGAACTTAAAGACTGTTTACCCATTTGGGTCACTAAAGACCAGATGTTGGATTTACTTAGTATTTCGGGGAAAAATATTGTTGATGCAGTCACTAACTTCTATGAACATGAAACCGAATACCGCGAACGGGTCACTGTCAGTAATTCTCCTACCTCTTCCTTTGAGCCAAACTCACTAAATGGGTCTGCATTGCCTTTTAAACCAAAAGGAGATGAATATATGCTGTCTCCCAAACCATGGGTTGGTAAAAGCCCGCAGCAGGGTGAAACAACTGCATCAAATAAAACCTTTAAACTGCCCAACATGAACCGTTCCAGTTGCAAAACTATTACTCCGGGTAAAAGGAAGAGAAGTGCTGAAAACAAGTCGCTTAAAAAAGCAAGAGGAAATGTAAGTATGGAACCTGGTGGATCGAAGCAGTGTACTATAACAAAGTTCTTCAGTAAAATGGCTCCTCCATCTGCAACTACTAGTAGAAATTCCCACGATGATAACAGTATGCTACTAAGTGCCTCCGTTGAGTCTTATATAGAGGAAGCTGATCGGTTTATTCAGATCGTGAATAGGGATGAGTCATTAAGAAGTTATGCTGCCACAGTACTAGCAAAGACTAAAGGAGACATAAGTATGGCACTTGATATTTATTTTTCAGAACACAAAGATGTTGGAGAAACTAATGGATGCGGGATTTCTGAAAGCAGCAAAGTGGTGCAACCTGCTAAAGAGGTTTTCCCTTCTTCCAAAGATGAGAAGTTGCCCAAAAAATTAGGAGATGACCCGGATTTGTCCTTGTCTGGAATTCCCTTAGCAAATACTGCTGTAAATTATGTATCACTTCCACCTGAGAAATATTCTCCTTTGGAACATGGTTGGTGTCTTGTAATTACCATTTCTGATGTAATTATTTGGATATATTCAAGCATAAATTCCAACTTTGTTATCCAAGTAAAATCTGTTCACCAGTAAAATATTACTTTTTTTCCTTTCTTTTTTCTTTCATTCTATTCCCCAGCTAGCTGGAGCAAGGGGCAGGCTGCTCCATACCTACATATTTCACGGACTTTTGAATTGGTAGAGGAAGAAAAAGGCAAGATAAGAGCAACATCAATGTTATGCAATATGTTTCGGAGGTTTGTTGCCTACTACTCTTTAACCCTTAAGGCGTCATTTTCTTTTCAAGGGTTCTAAGATAGTCGGGTTATACTGAGGGACATTTGTTAAGGGTTTAAGCATGGGATGTTCTTATAGATTTTATTATGCATTGGGTTTATTGGATTACAAGCTGGGTTCTTGCTTTGATTGGGTTTCAATACTATCCTTATCCTCAAAATTAACAAGCTCAAAACCAAAAAAAGACAGTGTTCCCTTTTTTTATGGGAGCAGGGTAGTGGGATGAATGAGAGGTAAAATGGTAGTTTATGCTAATTGGGAGAATCGAATCCCGCTGCTCCACACCAATAAATAATACAATTTCACGAGTCTACAGACTTAGGAGTAGCATGGATTCAAATTCTTCATCCACCCACCCTCTAATCTCGAAGAAAGTATGGCTGTATTGGTTGATCAGTTACTGCTCATTCACAGCTTGCTGGCATTGTCTCCTGAGGATGTGCTTCCTGCAGTGTACTTGTGCACAAACAAGATAGCTCCTGACCATGAAAATATGGTTAGTCTAATACCATAATTGTCTATAAGATTTTGCCTCTTGGTTAGTGGTTGAGTTCTAACACTGGATGCATTTTTCTTCTTATTGTTTTTAAGTGCCATTTATTTCGATTTTCACTAATGCCCAGGAGTGTGTATTCGTTGACTACTTTGACATAATTACCTCAAGTTTTGGCCCATGGTTTTATATTTTCATATGTTAACATTGCTTTAAGTTTCTTCTTCCATTGCAATTCCTTTTTTTCTTTGTCCTTTTGGGTAAGCAAAGTGATATACATTGATGTTTGAATTCCACTAAAAGGTATTTGTGGAATTCAGTTACACATGTAAGTCCATGATTTCCATTGTATCATCTAGTCCATCTACAGCTTTTCAGTGACACCAAAGGTGTAATTTTATAAAATATTCTCAGTTTGTAAAAGATAAAGATAGAAAGCTATCCTCAAGAACAGTGTTATCAAAGGCGAAAAGCGCAAACAAGCTCTAAGGTTTGTTGGCGCTTGAATCGCAAAGCGCAAATAACGCGTGGGCTTTAATGAAGAAAGGCGCAAATGGAGAAAAACTATAAACATTTATGTGTAGTCCAAGACTAATATCCATAAGCATGAATACCAAATGTATGGAAAAGAAATTGAAGAAAATTTACGATAAAGTGAAATATCAATTGTTTAGTGTCGCCTCTTCCGGATACGCTAGTTAGTAAGGAAAAGTATGCGTTAGAGCCTTGATGACAACACTTGGAGCGCCCGTTAAGCGAGGCAAAGTGCTCAACATGTTTTGAGCCTCGCTTCAGGGCTTAAGTGCGTTTTAAGCGCGCCTTTGATGACACTGCTCAAGACGCCTATTGTTCCTTTCTATCTAAGTTGTCCAAGTACGTAAAGTGAAATGTTTGCATACGATCTCTATTTAAGCTTGTTCTAGAAGTGGCATTTGGGTCACATAATGGATTCATGATTCATTATTACCACCTTTGAAAGGAAAAAGTTGGTAAAAATATACAAGGTATTACTTGTATATGTTGTAATGGCATTTCTAGACACAAAAGGGATGATTTGGAATTAGACCCCAAAAATAAAATAAACTAAATGAAAGGCCGTCACCTTTTCTTTTGATAATTCAAATATTCTTCATTAGTATCCTTTTTTTTTTATAACCCTAGTGTTTAGGTCAGGATGCACACACCTTCACTAATACCAGGTGGATATTGCTAAAAGTCTATACACAATATGTTGTTAGCTTAACTCTAGTCATCTACCAAGCTATCCCAATGACAAAAGGCTGGTTACTTTAACTAGGTTTCTTATTTTAGACCAAGAAAGGATATATAAGAATATATCAACTAAGGATCCTATTATGGAAATTGCAAATTAGAGCATTGTTGAAATTAAATTCACATATTAAAAAGCAATTTAGAGCAAAATGGGCTAAAAAGACAGATTGTTTTGGGTTGCAAGATGGACAGTGAAGGGGTTGGGAATTGGAGGAGAGGAGCCAAGATTGAGCTAGGAAAGTTGAGTTGAGGAATGGAAGTATGACGGTAGGTCAAGAGAAGTTGGTGGCAAAGAGGGAGAGCGGAGTGTGGGGATGAGGGAAGGGGCAGGACCTGGTTGTTGGAAGTGGGGAATGTAGTAACCAGAAGGTTAAAGGAAGGGGAAAGGTGAGTGAAGGGGGCTAAGGCAATGGGAGAGGTGGAGTGTCCGGAGGTTCGAGAAAGGAGAGAGAAGTGACTCAGCGTGGATTCAGTTAGTTGGATTGACCCATTTAAAGATTGCAGGCAACTTTTTCATTTTATTGTTTGCCCTATATTTTTCTGTAAATACTTTCGCATTGGAGATTAGAAGTTTAAATTAATTGCAATTTGGATGAGATCACTAGCTTTTAACTGTTCTATAAAAGTAATGACTATAAGGGAGGTCCTTCTAGTGACATTAAACTAAATGTTGGTCTAATGCATATCTCAAAGTGCAGGGAATTTCAATTGTGTTTCATGAAGCAAAGGGGAGTCTAAATGATTCGCCCTAGTAATAAATAAATGGGTTTTCTCCTTTATAATGTTGTTCTACAGACATTCTTCACATTATACATTGAAGAAGACTTTCCTGCCATAGCTACCCAATCTTACTGAAAATTGAAAAAGACCCATCCTTATAATTGAGAATGCATAAGCTAACAACAGCTGTTACAAAATGCCAGGGCCTTTCACAATGTCACATCTGTTCAGTAGCTTCTTGCTTTCGTGCTGGGCAGCAGATGGTAGAGATTAGGTGTGACAATAACAACCATATTTGTTAGTGTTATGCTCATATATGGTTTGTCGCAATTTACAAATTTCTTTTCTATTTTGTGATTAAATTCTTTTTATATATGTGCATGATTTGATACATCATTACTTCTATTTTATTTGCTATTATTTGAAATTCGAAGAGTATCATCTCAACTGTGATCTTATCATGCTCCAGGAATTGAATATTGGGGGCAGTACTGTTATAGCAGCACTAGAGGAGGCATGCGGGACAAAGAGATCGAAAGTACGAGAACTATATAACAGCCTAGGTGATCTTGGTAGGAGCATTTGTCATTCTAGGTTTCTGGAGAATGGATAGCCTGTGTTTTGTCTTTTCTCCTCTCTTTGGTTGGTGGATGTTTTTTGTTGCAGGGTTGAACTTTATTGACTGTTTGTTTGGGATTAGGTGATGTTGCTCAACTTTGCCGACAAACACAATCGTTACTTGCTCCTCCAGTGGCACTTTCAATTAGGGGTGTATACTCTATTCTTAGAAGGATAAGGTATGATTTTGACTCCTTTTGGTATGCAATAGTTGTTGCTGATCGTTTGAATGAGATCATGTAGTCTTTTCAGTATTCAAATAGGTTCTCTTTAGTCTTTATTGGGTTTTTTGACTCCTAGACCAGAACCATGCCTTCCTCCCTTAGTCCACTGTATTCCTGCATCATTTTTTTTCTTTTTCTGTCATGCACATCCTTTTCGTGAATATCAGACTATGTTTTCCTTCTTATATGACAAGGTTCAATCTGTACTTTTTTGTATCCTTTCTCATTCTGTCTAAAGATGAAAGATAATAGTGTTGCAAAAATGTTAGTAAATGGATGCTATCCACGGTAACATAGCTAGTTATTTGGTTCTGATGATCTTCTTGCGGACTTCTTTTTTATTGTTCTGGATGGAGCGTAAAGTTGATGACCTTTGTATATTCAGAAGTATACCAGCTTTTGCGATCTGTATCACAATTTCATTGTAACGTGGGGAGTTGTCTACCCACTTAGGAGGATTATTTTGCGCTTTTTGATAAGCTTACTTCATTATACCTTTAGCTTTTCTTACAATTGTCTTGGTTTTGATTTTGCGTAATGTGTGTTTTTATATCGAGAGGCCCCCCCCCCCCCCCCCAAACCCAAAAAAAAAAAAAAAAAATACCCACACGTGTATGTACATATGTATTTATAATCATTAATCAGATGATAAATGGGGGCAAACCTGGATTCGTGCATTTTTAATGTTTTGGTTTTACTTGAAAATATACTGCTAGGATAGTTTATCTTGAACTTATTTTGTTGAAAAGTATCAAAAAGTTCAGTTCAACTCTGTAATGCATTTTGCCATTCCTTTTTTATTTCTTATGGTTTCTGTATGCTTTCGATGACAAAATGATAATTGCTATATACAATATATCAGTTTACAGGCAGGTAGTGGGAGTGGCGTCCGAAAGAAAAGCCTCATTGTCAATCTCATGTGTTCATGTAGGGAGAAGGAGATGAAGTTTCTTGTCAGAACTTTGGTATGATTCACAGTTTCAGTCTTCAAAGAATAAAAAGCCCTTATGTGGTATTGTAGGCTCATAAATGTGTAAAAGAACTGATAATTGCACTTTTGTAGTTGTATGGATCCCCGCACATCTCATCTAAAACAGCGTAACTTTCTATGTTCATTTTTTATTTCCTCCAAACCAGCAGGCTCCAGATTTTTTCACAATAACTTGGTCTTGTTGGCAAACTCAACCTAATAGAATATTATAATCACCAGAGAACTTTGAAGTCTACACGATATTCATCTCAAATCTATATTTGATGCAGTAGTTTTCCTTTCCTGATTGTAAAACATGGGTTAATACTCTTTTTTTTTTTTTTTTTTAACATATCTAGAGTTGGAAGTATGCTACTTTCTTACTTACGAAACAACAATTTTTGTTCTTTCACTTAATGTGACTGTTAAGAATTAGTACTAACTTGATGCTCGAAAAAAAAAGAATTAGTACTAATTGCTTTCACTCTCGTAATATACAAGCCCTTGGATTGTCCTTTACTTGGATGAAAAAGTAGAAAAAGGAATTAATATAGTGACAATTCTACTTCGTCACCGTAATAATTAGTAAATAGGATTACCCAAGGTTATATAGCATCAAGTTATTCAAAAATTAAGAATATTAAAGAATTTTCTGCTATTCACAGCTCTTGATTGGTCTTGTTTGCAATTTTGGCTTTAGGAAAGCGTGTTAGTTTTGTTCAGTTGACATGGTGTCGAACCAATCCCTTGAGGACACTTTAATCTAAATAAAGGCCTAAACAAGCTCTTTTTCCTGTTTCTGCCAATATCAAATTACATTATATGTTGATTTGTTGTGAAAGATGTTGTGTAGCAAGATATCTTGCTTTCTTCTAACTGTTTCACCTCTTCTTACTTTTTCTGCTGTAGGTTAGGAATTTGCGGATTGGAGCCATGATGAGAACTGTTCTTCCTGCATTAGCTCAAGCTATTGTCTTCAATTCTGTTCTTTATGATGGACCAGTCGAAAACATGAAAGAGAATCTGCAGGTTTGTTCATAGGAGGTTGACAGGGTGGAGATAGTAATCTGTATTTAATTTCATTCCATATGGAGGGTCATTCTTCTTGAATGTTTCATCTGAGTCCCATGCTTTTGTTTTGGTGGACTACACTCAAAGATGATACTCCTTTGTGGAGATGAGTAAGAGTTGCTGGCATTTGATGTTTGGTGTTCTGATCTGCCTTTTTGTTGATTGAAGTGGGGAAATTCTCTTGATAGCTTGAATTTATGTTTCTATCGTCCATATCTGCTGCTTTTTTCCCTTTTTCTGAACTCATTGATATTGCCTTAATGGTTTTCCTACTAACTACTATTCTTTATTTCGTTGACGTTAGCGACTTTCAGCAGAAGTAGTTGAAGCATATAACATCCTTCCCAGCTTGGTAAGCGTTATTCTTCAAGTCTAATGGTTTTATTACAAGATTGATATTAGGTTCTAAGTTTTCATGCACTTAGAAGTTGTTAGTCGTTTGTGTGTGCATCTTTTGTGATTCTACTTTATGTTAATCATTGACTGGGTCGTATGTTAATTTTACTTCCATTTCACTCAACTGTTTCCAAGTGCTTACAAAAAAAGGGAACAACTACTACTATGTTTTATTTATATTTTTTCTTCGGTGAGCTAAATGTGCCATTTTAAAATAGTGAAGCATCTCAATTTATTCAAGATATAAATAAATAGTCACGTATTTCCTTCTGCAAGAGGCTAGCAATGTTTGAGTATGATTTGCCTAGAATTATCTAATTTTTATTGTCTCTAATTAATTTAGTGATCTGTTTTGACCAGGATGTACTTGTTCCTTCTTTGATGGAAAAGGGGATTGCGTTTTCCTCAAATACGTTGTCAATGGATCCCGGCATACCCATCAAACCAATGCTTGCAAAGTACAGATAAATGTGTACTTGTGTTTATGATGCACTTTTTGTAGTACGATTCGTCCTACTGTTTCTTTCACAATGGACCATCTCTTATACTTCCTCAATTTTTCGCTGATGATAGAATTACTAATGGCGCCCCTCAAGTGCTGAAGCTCTTCCAGAACAAAGCCTTTACATGCGAGTACAAGTAACTGCTCGAAACTTTCTTATCCACCAGTATTCTGGCAATTGTAGCTAATTGTTTCATTTGTTTGCTGATCCATCAATGTAATGAAATGGTCTTTGTGGGATAATGAAATTACTAGGGCAGCCCGGTGCACTAAGCTCCCGTTATGCGCGGGGTCCGGGGAAGGGCCGGACCACATGGGTCTATTGTAAGCAGCCTTACCCTGCATTTCTGTAAGAGGCTGTTTCCACGGCTCGAACCCGTGACCTCCTGGTCACATGGCAGCAACTTTACCAATTACGCCAAGGCTCCCCTTCAAAGGGATAATGAAATTACTACTCTGAAGAAACTGGTAGGGACACAGATTAATTCAAAAGTGAAGCATCTCCATAGGGTTTTTGTCGGACTGGCATATTTCTAGTAAATATTCTAAAATTATGTTCCTTCACGGATCTTTGTGCTTTATTAGCGTCACACCACAATGCTCCAAACTGCATTTTTTATCTTCGTGAAATTGAGAATACTAGGGCACCTATCTCCCCTTCCCAACCTCCCACCCCAAAAAAGTAGAAATAAAAAAAAAGTAAAAAAAGAATGAGGAAAAGAAATTGTGATAGCTAATATTCTTTTACCTTCTGTATTTTAGCTGATTGCAAGTAGCACTGGGTTCATATTCGTTTAATAACTTTTTTACCACATACAATTTTAAAACTATTTGATCTTTTCTCTATATCTTTAGTTCTAACAAGTCATAGTTCAAGAAGATGCTGTGTCTTTTTAAACTTTAGGGAGAGTGAATTGCAGGGTTATTTGGAGTTCACATACTTGTTGTTGAGTTCCTCAGTTATATCATTTGAGTACTAGTATCAAAGAGTTTAGGAGTCCTATTCTTATTTATTTTAATTTTTTATTTGGTATGGTCGACTTTTCTTCTTATTTCATAGTTGTTTTTTATCTAGACCTGATGCTTATTCTGTCGTTTTCATGCAAGGGGAGTGATGGCAGCTATTGTAGTACCAGGTTCCTTTATTTAGTAGCCTATTATCTAGTTGGATCTAGTTAACGGCGATGCGCTCCTGGCCTTAATTGGCCGGGTCGTGCCTCCGGCTGTTACTTTGAAGAAATTAGAGTGCTCAAAAGTACAGGAGTGATGATGTTTTTTGGTGCAATATCTTCTCTTTGCTTCTATTGTTAGTGAATACTTGTTATGGTCCATTGCATGGTATGGACTTGAGTCCCACATCGATATTGCAATGTGCTGATATGGGGTTTATATAGCCTTGGGCTCTCCCACCTTAATAGCTAGCTTTTGGGGTGTGGTTCTTCCGGGGTGTACCAATGGTATCAGAGCCACCCATCGCCCTCCGTGCCCACCGTGCCAGGGATGGTGACGCCGGTATTGCAGTGTTCGCCCGGGGGTAGAAAAGTCTAGCGCACAGCCGTCGGTCCGACGGATGCGGAGCGTGGTGGTTTGTTATGGTCCAAGGTATGGGACTTGAGTCCCACATCGATATTGCAATGTGCTGATGTGGGGTTTATATAGCCTTGGGCTCCCCCACCTTAATAGCTAGCTTTTGGGGTGTGGTTTTCCCTGGGTTGTACCAATACTTGAATGCCTGAATTATGCTGAAAATTTTCGCTTTACCTGGACTTACCAATCATTTCTAATACCAATGGTATCTTGCGGTTTCTTGGATTTCCAACCAAATAATTATGCTTTCTGAAAAAATGAATGAGTTGACATCTGAAGAGAAAGATTCTGAAACAACGTTTTAGTGATGCTGAAATATAGCCTGTAGATCGGAAACAGCCTCTCTACCCCCAGAGTAGGGGTAAGGTCTGCGTACACACTACCCTCCCCAGACCCCACTGGTGGGAGTATACTGGGTTGTTGTTGTTGAAATATAGCCGGTAGATATTGCTATTTTTTAACATACTCATATCTTAAAGTACTGATATCTATTTTGCAGATATGATGGTCAGCGAGCTCAAATTCATAAATTAGCTGATGGTTCGGTCCGTGTATTTTCACGGAATGGGGATGAAACAACATCTAGGTTCCCTGATTTGGTAAACATAATTACAGAATCATGTGGTCCCAGAGGAGCGACATTCATAGTGGATGCAGAGGTATTTCTTATATGGAATTCTACTTTAAGTAGCACGAGACAGATTCGACAAAAGCCACGTTAAATTAAAAACTTTGGGTGTTATATTGCTAGTAAAGCATCCAAACAGCTCAATACCAAGTAAGCATATATAAAGCACAGCAAATTTTTTGTGGATATGCAGTTGAAAAAGATGATTATAATAGAGCAGCTAAAGAAGAAAATATGCCAGCAGAACGGGTAAAAGCAATGAATCAGCAAGGTGACAGAGTGGAAGAATTTAAGAAAAAAACACGTCTGGTTCTAACCCTACCATGGAAAAAATTTGGTATTTAAGTCAACTGGAGCCAGGCCAGAAGCACACAGGGAATATATCAAAAAAAGCTCTGTGGAAAAAAAATAAAATCACAGGGAATATATCCAATAAAAAAATTGAAAAGAAAAAGAAACATAAGAGGAAAAGAGTGATTCTGAGAGAACTGTGACGAATTCGGAGGGAATTAAAAGGTGGAACCACATTCGTTTTTTCTTTGTTAGGCCAGATTCTTCTTCTACTCCTATGTTAATTAGAATGCTAGTGGTTCTTTTGGTTCGGCCTTGTGTTTTAGGTCATTGTTGTTTGGAATACAGTAGATTGGGAAGCTTTAGTAATGTGCTAGGCTTAAGATTTTTCTTCTGAATAATCTTATTGAATACAGTAAGACCTCGTTTCTCTTGTCAAGTTTTAGATATAGGTGCTCTACAATAATTGGAAACATGTGTTTAAATCAAGGGGCAGTTGTCCATATTAAGGACACTGCTGTCCTATAATGATTGTGGGAAAAAAAATTGGTTCAACATGTGTTTGGAGTTCACCTGGCATGCATCCATGTCTGATTGTGTCCATCAGACCATCACCAAACCATGATGTTATATACTTAAATTAGGTGTCTGTGTTAAATGTATCAATAGTCGAAGTGCCATCGCAGCCGTTGGGCTGAAATTGTAATCACTAATGAACTTTTGTTATTTATGATCTCCATCTTTTTTCAGGTTGTTGCAATTGATAGAAAAAATGGTTCAAAGCTCATGTCGTTCCAAGAACTATCTTCGCGAGAGAGAGGGACCAAAGATTCCATCATCACATTAGATAAAATTAAGGTCATTGTCAATCTTCTCAATCAGGAATATCTTTAGCCTTCTGACACCCCCGTAACCATCTAATTTATCATTTGGATTTGGACCTTGTGTGTGGAAAGATGGTGGTTGACCCCCTCTCTCCATGTCCACAATGATAACAGCAGATTGGCACTGGAGCTTGTCTTTATTCATTTTTAAATCCACATGCTAAAGTAATGAGAAATGTCCCTTGTCAAAAAGTAATGAGAAATGTCTTCTTATTTTATGTTTTATTTTCATTGGAGTTTGTACCTTATTAAAAGGGCAGCCGGTGCACAAAGCATCCCGCATTCATGCAGGGTCCGGGGAAAGGCCGTACCTCAAGGGGTGTGATATTTGTACCTTATTGGTCAACCAATTTTTCTAAAATATTTATGCAGTGCCTGTGATAGACAGTCCCCGTAAAAAATGTTTTTTGTCTGTAAAAATTATATTCTGGTATCTGACGTCTCTTTCTTTTTACCATTCTTTGTGCAGGTTGAGATATGCATTTTTGTCTTCGATATGATGTTTGCAAATGGAAAACAGTAATTACTATAACCATTTCTCCAATTTTGTTGTGGATGGCCAGTTCCTGCTGTTACACATTTGTCTATCCTTAATGGTACTGGTTTCATAGTAATCATGTTTTGTGTCGGTGAGCATGCACCAGTTTTGATCTATAAATCTCATTTAATTAGTTAGGGTAGTTTGTTAATATTGTTAAGGTTTGATAGTTTGATAAATGGATTTACCTGGTGATGAGACACAAAGGTATATGATGTGTATAGGAGGTCTATAATTTATACTCCCTCTGTCCCAATATATGTTACGGTGTTTGACTAGTCATGGAATTTAACAAGGAAAGACCTCTAAAACTTGTGGTCTAAAACAAGCCCTAAAAATTTGTGTGGCTATAAATCATCATTAAGGTTAAAGTGGGAAGTTTAAATTTAATTGTTCCTAAATATAGAAAGATGTCATTCCTAAATATGTTTATGCTATTACTTGTTGCACGTGAAGAAAAATTATAGGGAAGCTTATCCAGTGCAAAGATGCCAATTCCCTTGTGAGAAATGAAACAAGGAAAATAAGATTGACATAAAAGACTTCTTGATCATTCTCCCTAGCTAATGGGTGTTTAAATAGTACATAGACCTATTTTAAACTAGGAAAGATATCAAGGTTACATAATTACATAGATATAATAGTCCCTTATCGATTCTAACGAATATACACCATAACATCCCTTTTGTCCTTTCTTTTTTGGGGAAAGATAACCCTGAAAAAAGTGATCTTATTTCAATGGGCTTTAAATTTGTTGAGAAAGATGGCAGTTAAATTCAATCCTAAAGAAAATAATATACCATAAGATTATTGGAAAGGAGGAGAGCACGAGAAGCTAGTAGAAGTGATACTATACTTCCTCTATTTGATTTTATATGACACAATTATTATTGAATGACTGAAAAGATTTTTCATTGTTACAGTGTTCAAACATGTTAAAAATATTTCAGTTTCTAAATTTTTTTTTTCTTTTGTAATATATAAATTTCATTGTGAATAGTCAAAAATTAATGACAAAAAACAGTTGAATTTGACCTCTTGCTGCGAACCATGTCATTCCTTTTGGATGGAGGGAGTAAAATATTTCTTAACTCGATCAAGAGCCTTGAAAAAAAAGGTGCATGATTGGGGTTCTCAGTTTATACATTTGGATGTTGCACTATGAGTGTAACATGTGTAACCTTAGTGTTTCTGTTTCAACTGGGTTGTGAGGTTTGAGGAGACCTTTCCATGTGCTCCTCCTTTCAAAATTTGGCTGATCATGCAGTCTGAGGCTTTTATGGTTAGATAGAGCTATTCCACATTAATTTGGGTCTTGCTGATTCTTGTTGCTCTCTTTTAATATTTCATTTGAGACGTTCACATCCTTTTTTGGATTCTATAACTGTAGAATTCTTTGTCTACAGATTGTTGCATCTGCCACTCCGTCAAAGGCGAAAATGTATGCATCTTTATTTCTTCCTGTAAGTGTAGAAGTTTAGTACTTAATAGATATTGTAAAACCATCCTCTTAATTTTTGAAATTTGCTGTGTGAAAATCAGACCTGAAGGATTTATTTGGTGACGGCAAAGTGGGTTATTTCGAGTATGCGACAGAAATGACTGTAAGTTTCTTCTTGGTGCATAATTTTGTTTTGTTGGTTAGTACGTAACATGAGCATTCTGTTGCCAGCTATTCAGTAATTTACCTAACCTATCTTTCTTCAGGTAGAGTCTGATGATGCTTGTGCGGATAACGAAGCCACATTGGCTAGGATGAACAGCTTTCTTGATGATGCGCTACGTTCTTCTTGTGAAGGAATCATGGTGAAATCCCTTGATATAGATGCTGGGTACACACCATCAAAGCGCACTGATGCATGGTTAAAGGTGTCGCCTCGAAGAATGATATATTGCATTAGCAAGATTAGAGATCTAGTCCTAATCCTGGGACTTGTCTGCAGGTCAAGAGAGACTACGTGGAAGGACTAAGTGATTCCTTGGACTTGGTTCCGATTGGTGCTTGGTATGGGAATGGAAGGAAAGCGGGATGGTATTGATCAACTTTTCTTTTCTTTTCTTTTTGTTTTTCTTATGCGGACAGTTAAGGCATCAAACTGCAAATTCGCACGAATTTGAGCATCTTTCACCCGGAAATCTGTTTTAGGTTCTGAGATAGCCTAGCAGGAATACCTTTCTAAGTATGTACCATGCGGAAAGTTAAGGAGTAAACTGCAAATTCCCATGGATGGAGCATTTCTTCACCCAGAAATCTTATTTAAGGTTTTGAGATAGCTTAGCGGGAATGTCTACTCTAAAGATGATTGTGCTATACAAACTTTGCTGGCGTTACCAATAAAGTGGGAGCATATGCTGCTACTGTATGTCATTTTGACAGTTCAGTGCTACAAACATCTGAGTTGTTTCCTAATGTTTATATGTTATGCATATATTGTTTGAGCACGTAAGAGAACGTCCCCCTTCCCCTCTTGGTTCTTTTATGACCGCTGATAAATTGCATTGGATTCTTTTGCATGAATGCTTTCATGTGATTAATGCGTTACTTTTTAAATTACAGGTATAGTCCTTTCCTTATGGCCTGCTACAACCCTGACACTGAGGAATTCCAGAGTGTCTGCCGGGTCATGTCTGGGTTTTCTGATTCATTCTACATAGAGGCAAGTTCAGTAACGATATAACTTGATTACTATGTCCTACATCTTATAGTCTTGGACTTGTAGATACTAGTATTGGCATCGTGGTGAACAAACTCTCATGTGATTAATTTTGATCTGTATCAGAAAGATTGTCTTTTGATATCTGCCCCCCCCCCGTCCCTCCCTACCCCCCCCCCCCCGACCCCCCAAAAAAAACGTAAAAACCTGTTTTAGATAACATGAATTCTAGGCCATGCCCTTC